TCTGTTCCACTGCCACAGTGTAAGAAATGTTAGCATTCTATCACTAGAGAATAAATAAATGTAGAAAAGAAATTAGCATGTGATTGAACAAAGATTCAGGAAGATAATTCCAAGTGGGTACAGGAAGATTTATACACCATAAATATCTGTATATGTACAGGTACACCATTTATCATGTCTCTATATTCTGACAACTAAATGTATTATTAAATTTTCAAAAAATAAGCACCTATGTTATCTTGTATTTAACAAAGTCAGTTTTGTGCAATTTAGCTTCTGTCTCTGGAATTTCCCTTACATATGGTGGCAAAAACAAAGATAGGAACATGGTTGACAGAGAAACATAGAACATATACAAATATCACAATAAAATAATCATGTGTGCCACTGTTCAGGGAAATATTTTAGAGATAGCATACTTTCACTATTGGCCCCAAATGCCATAATCCACTTATGCTCTTTAATCGTCAACTTTTAATACAAAAATACCTTCAAGCTGATAATCAAGAACATTTACAGTGACTTACAAAACTGACAGAATATTTCAGTGCTACACAAAACAGTTCTACACATAACTTAGAGTTAAAGTTCTTTGCTGGCACTTGATTTGATAGTTGATAAACACGATAACTACTGACCTCAATAAAATATTGTTTTTAGCTTATACATACTATTAAAACCAATTATTACTTCACAAAATGGTAAAGAATAAATCACTCTTTGCTGAAGAATTCTCTAAGACAAACACCAAAACATTACAACCAAAATATTTTAAGGAAGCAAATCAACTTTTTTAAGACAAGGTATGGCCAATGGACAAAAATTTACATATTACCCAATTATATGCCCAGTGAAAAAAAGGATTGTCCCTCCGATCAATGAAGCATGTATCAGGTATAGTTTTTCTAAAAAAAGAGAACTTATGAAGCAAATCATTTCTATCTCTCTTTCTTTTTGGTTTAGTAGAGTTTTTAAATAATTAATGATACTACTAAAATAGATACTTTTAGATAACAAATTGGTCACATTTGGCAAATACACACCTTATATTCCAAAATGAAAACTAAATTACTTTTGAAAGGGTAGAATCCTGATTTTTTTTTTTTTTTGCTTTCTGTAAGATTGTAAGGCCATTCTGCACATTATCAAAATGAAATCACTATTCAGTAACCTTAATTTATAGATCCAATTTTTTTTCTTTGCAGAAGAAAGCCAAATTAAACTTTAGTAAACAATAGTTAACTTAGAATACTAAAAACTAATCAAACATTTTGGAAATCTACTATCATTATTTTGAAGGGAAAAAAATATCACCTTCAAAACCCTACCAGTAATTCCTAATCGTTTCCTATTATACAAATGAAAGTTAAATTCCTGTGGAAGAATATAAAAATTAACAGGAGCCTAAATTAGGGTAATCAAAATATAAACATATTAACTCATCAAGACAATCCACTGGTGCAAAGAATATCTGAACAATAAAAAAAAAAATCCAAGCACTCTATTCAACTATATAGTTCATTTTTGCATATTTTAATTTGGAACTTCTAACATAAAAGTAAATTATTAAATAGGTTGATTCAGTGGACTGTCTAAATTTTCTAACATTACACTATTTCAAAATATTATCCTTTCTAAACAAAACCTGCAGTCATGGTAAATTTTTTTTTTAGGAAAAAGAAAGGATATCTTTCAAGATACATTCCATAGCAGTAGAAACCACTTGGTGTTTCAAAATATTCATAAAGAACCCTGCTGATCCTGTGCATTTCGCTGAGGTGCTACTTGTACCCACACTTCATCATCAGAAAAAGAACTTGAACTTCCTGACTCAGAGTCCAGCTCACTGAATCCATCTAAGTCCCATTCAGTACTAGACTCACTTCGTGCATCATCCTCCTCAGTAATGAAACTCTGACCAGGTTCAAGGCAAGAAGGATAAACTCGGGCGCAGAGACAAATAAAGCCAGAGTCAAACTGTAAAAGGCCTAACATGGTACCTATATTAATCCACTGGTATCCCCTAGTGTCATATTCATACACAGTCACCCGGTTCTTTTTCCATTGTGGCGTGGTAGAAGTGATAAGCAACAACTTTTGGTCATGATTAACAATCTGGTAGTTGTGGGTTTCTGAATCCAAGGGAATATTACTAATCCGCCTCCATTCTCCCCTGGCTGGGTTGTAGACCTTCATAACTGGGATGTCACAGATACAGTAAATCTCATCATTGAAGACACATGCTTCCTGAAAGTCACTGCGTCTAAGAGAAGCACAGTTCAGCCACATATTATGGCTAGGATCATAGCAGAGCATGCGCTTACTGTTGACAGCATAAAGATAGTTCTGAACCACTACTAGTTCAAAGGAATAAAAGGAGTGAGGTACAGGGGCCACTAGTGCCCACTGGTTTCTCTGAATGCTGTAGCATTCCACTTCCTTCAATTTAACTCCAGTAACAGGGTCTCGCCCACCCAAAATGTAAATGTAGCCATTGAGGTATGCCACGTCCATGCCCTCTCGACACAGCAAACGGTCTGCAAGTTGCTGCCAACTATTCTGAGCTGGCTTATACACCCAGAGGTCTTTCCTGGGCTGGGCAGCTAGATAGATGTCATGGTCTGGAGAGACACAGACAGCTGAAGAGGTGATAGTCTTAGTGTGGGCCAAACTGGTCAAAGGTGATGGCATCGTATAAATGTCCCCTGAGTATGGGTCATAACAGAGAAAAGGATCTCTGGGATGTCCAAAGAATATCACCATCTCCTTGGCACACATACCCAACCTCTGGGGTGGATTTTCTGCTGCAGATACAGCAGAGCTGCTGCTGCTATTTGGCTTTGGCACCAGAGACTTGTACAACATGTCACCATAGCGCATCTGCAGGGCCCCTTCAATAATGTCCAGACAGTACTTCTTCACAATGGGCTTGGTCAGCAGCCCTTCCAGGTAGTCCTGATCTTCTTCAGTGAAGTGCATCCAGCGAACACACTTGAAAACTTCAGCAGCACTGGGACCTCTCTCTTTGGGTGCAGCCTCCAGCCACTGCACAGCCACGTGGAACCACTGCACAGCCACGTGGCACACCGTCTGTTCACTCTCTATGTCCAGACTATCCAGGCGCAGGACGGCCTGCAACTGAGCCAGGGTCAGGTCTGCCAGTGTCTCCTCCCTAACCGAACCCATCCGGCTGAGCTGCTTGAAATTGTGAGCTATGAAGGACTGGGCTTGACATCGCAGCTTGTGGTGGTCAAAGGCATCGGCAAACTTGAGGATGGCGGTGCAGTTGGCCAGGTCCAGGCGGCGGGCTAAGAAGGAGGCACAGGCTTCCCGCACGTACTCCAGCTGCAGCATGTCCGAGGCCGCGTACAGGCGCTGCACATTCGCCTCACTCAGGGACACGTGACCTGTGTAGCAGTAGTCGACCAAGACCTCGAAGGACTCTGCGTCCACATCGTGCATGGTCACGCTCGCCTGATGACTCTCGTACATGCCACCCGTGAACATGCTCTTGAAATAGGGACACGCGGCTGCCAGCACGTTGCGGTTGCAGGAAAACAGGCGACCCGTGCCAGGCCCACTGCCTGGAGTCACCACCTCGATGGTCACATCACAGAGCAGTCGCGCGTCGTAGAAGGACTTGAGCTGTGCCAGCAGGGCTGCAGAATGGGCCGTGTCCTTCAACTCCTCCGGGCCCGTGAAAAAGGCAGAAACCGAGGGCTTGGATAGCCTCTTGGGCCGCCTCCCACCGCGCGGACTGGAGAGCCGGCGAGAGCGGGGAGCGTCTTCCCGAGACTGCATGGTGGAGATGGCGGCCGGGCGCTGCGGGCGAGAACGGCTGCAGGAACCCGACTCTGGCTCCTCCTCAACCCTCCTGTCGCTGGCGCTGAGACAGCACAGCGGGGTCTCGAACAGGCTGCGGCACGGGCCGCCCTCACTTAGTGGAGCGCTCCGTCACGGTGCCGTCTCCCTTTATCGCGTAGTGAGTTGCTTACTCACCCTTTCCCACTTCCGCGCCCTTTCTTGCCTGGGCTCGCCCCCACGGGACCTGCGGGCTGGAGTCCAGAGAGCCGCCACTGCCACGCCGGCGACACCAGTAGGCGTCGGGGAGAACTACCACTCCCAGGATCCCTTTCGCGCCTCAAGGCACGCTGGGGCCCTCCGGATTCGCGGCCGGAGACGGCCGGGCGAGGCGCGTTGCATGACGGGAATAGTAGTTTCTGCGACGTCGCGAGCTCTCGTGGCCAATGCTTTCACTAACAGAATTTGAACGTGGTTCTTTTCCTATATTCGAGGGTTAAGAACATTGTCTTTGAAGCCAGTGAAGCTCCATTTTATTGTTTACTAATGGTGTGACATGTCTCTGAGAAATTTTCCACCTTTATAAAATGGGTAGAATAATATATCTACCGCAGGTTGTGTGAAGACTGAACGATATTAATTACATAGAATTCTAATTATTTTTCATTGGAAGAGTAATTAATAAAGCGCTACACCTGCCACAGAATACACAGTCAATAATTGTTAGCTTTTGTTGTTGTTGTTGTTAGAATTTGCAAAATTTGAAAGTCACAAGAGGAGGAAGATTTTTCGAATTTCTGCGAAACAAGCAAACTTCCTGGTCAGCCTGTGGCTATCATGGTTAAGGCCGCTGGATCCACAAGGTCGACTGTAGGAGGTCTGAGAAACACACTAGGTGCACACCCCAAGTCCCCAAAACAGGGAGAGATGGAGGAGAAGGAATTGCAGTGTGTCCGTTCTCGTGTCCGTTCTCTAGCTCTCTCTTTCTCCTGAGTGTAAGTTCTTCTGGCAAATTAAAAAAAAAAAAAAAAATCAGCTTTACATTTTGCTTTTTTGGGGAAATGTTGTGAAGGGTATTAACACTATGTCAAGTGTTAAATGAGCTCTTTGTATACATTACAATGTCTCAGCCAGCTGAGTTGCAATGTTTTGCTGTTAGATGCTAAGAAAACAGCATCAAAGCATGGCCTTAAATACGCAAGTCAGACACATAAAAATAGATTAGTACTCTCACCAAATCAACATTTCATCTCTGGGAATCCGATTTTTGTTTTTGTAATTGAGATTTATTGGTTGTGTGAGGGTCGGTACAGACTTTTCAATTTATACACAATTTTTTTTGAGAATTATTTTATTTAACTTCATTTATCTATTTTAATTTGACCAGAGAGGGACACAGTGAGAGAGGGAAAGCAAGACAGCAAGCTGCCAGGTCTGGGTGGAACCACAGTAGGAAATGTGGGAGTCCAGCACCCCCAACCACCACATCACCGGACGGTCACTATACACAATTCTTAATGTATGTACCAAATCTCTAAAACGCCATGTATTGTGATTCTTTGTAGCAGTTATTTTAGTGACATTGCAGCTTCAAATTTGCAGGTAAGTTTTCCTTAAAAAGATATTAAGTAAAAAATGTTGAAAGCTGTCATGTAAGTCCTACAAATTAAATTCACAAAGAGGAACACTGCACCCACTAGAACAGCTAAACTTAAAAAGATCAACAATGCTGGCACCAGCTGGTGGCATGGTGGTTAAGGCACCTGGATCTTGCTTTATCGACTGCATGGTTTGAGTCCAGTTGGCAGATTGAGAAACATTTTGGGTGAGGGTATGTATGTCTAAAGTCCCTAGAGGACAATGGAGGGGAAGGGATTGCAATGTGGCCATCCCCCGTGGGGGATGCTTTCTCATTTTCATTCTCTCTGTTGAATGCACATGTCCCCTAGCAAATAATAATAATAAGCAATGATGAAGATGTGGAGCCACTGGAACTTTCATATTGTTAATAATAGGAATATAAATTGGTACATCCATGTTTGAAAATTCTTTGATAATTTCTTTTAATGATAAATACCCACCAAATTCACTTCTAGGTATTTGCTCAAGGGAAATGAAAACATACCTACAAAAAGACTTAAGAATTTTTATTACAACTTTTTTCTATAGTTGCCAAAAATTGGAAACAATCCAAGTGTACAACAGGGGAATGAAAAAAAAACTGTAGCATATTCATACAGTGTAATACTAAGAAATAACTCCTGATACCTGCAATAATGTAGATGATTCTTAAAAATTTTATGTTGAGCTTAAAAGCTAGATACTCAAGACTATATATTATATGATCATTTACATGAAGTTTCAGAACAATGAAAATAAGCTTTAGTGAATAAAAACCATAATAAAGACTGCCCCTCAGGTGATGGAGGAGGGGTAGGCAAATTGTTAGACTGACTGGAAAGGAACATGAGGAAACTTTTGGAGGTGATGCAAATGCTTTCTTCCTGCTTGAGCTGGTGGTGACACAGGTGAATGCAGTTGCCAAACTCAGTGAACTATACTCTTTATATTTGTGCACTTTATGTACTGTGACTTCTACATCCTCCCAGAAGGGACCACTCCATAATTGCCATTACTGAAAGTTACAGAATTCTTCACCAGATAATTCAGTTATAAAGCAAGACTCTTCTTATCTAAAGGTGTTTAGGTCAACATCATTCCAATTCATACAGGTTAACTTTGTGATTTGGTGCTCCACAAACTTGGGATTTGGGTACTTCTCGGTGATTTGCAAGGATTTCAGCATACTGCAGTCTTTCAAATTTGTGTAGTGAGTGCCCAACATAACATTCAAGTATTCTTTTATTCCTGCCACAACTTTATTAATAGCATACTCTTATTATCTCTTTCCTCAAGTTCTCTTGTAATTTACATGATCTTCTAAAATGAAGCCCACATTCTTTTTTTGCTCTTCTATCTGAAGAGCTCTTTGGTCTTGTAATTTTCAGTCAACAAGCCATAGTTTATATTTAAGTTTTGCCACAGGGCACATCCACTTGTTGACATGTGTGTGTGTGTGTGGGGAGACAGATATAGAGAAGGAAAGTGAGAAATTATCGCCTGGTGAGATGGCCATTCCACCTCAACCTCTTCTCTTCCATTCCCCTCTTGGACTTTGGGCATGTGCACACATGTGCCCAGCATGAGTTTCAAACTACTGGGACCAGAACTTGAACTACAGTCATCCATGTGAGAGTCCGGAACCTTAATCACCACACCAACGGTGGCCCCAACAAGTCACAGTTTTAGTTCTTTAGGAATCCTTAACTTCAACTATGTTCATGAATGTTTTCAATAGTGAGATCTACTTGAGCCCTTCTGAGGCTAAGGTATCTCACTAGAACTGCCAGTTTCCACTTCTGGGTTTCAACATTTGCTTTTTTTTAGAGAGGTTTTTGCTATAGGATGTACACGCTTGCCAGAAAGACAGAGAAAGACAGAGAGACAGAAAGCAAGAAATCACGCCCTAATGGGGGATGGCCACGCCGCAATCCCTTCTCCTCCATTCTCTTCTCAGGATCTTGGGCATGCATGCACACGCATTGCACGCACACGCATCCGGCATGAGTTTTAGTCACTGGGTTCAGGACTTGAACTGTGGTGGACTACATGGAAGTCCAGCAACATAGCCATTATGACAACTGCTGGTCCTCTAGATGTCTTCTTTATCTAGGGCAGCCCTCTCATCTTACCCTCTGAATTTTGATCCTGACTGGCTTTTTGAAGTTCTCTGTGCTTCTGCAAATTGGTTTCCATGTATCTGAGTACTCTATGTCCTTGGAACCCATTCATCTCAGTTTTAATTCCAACCATTGTATAAAGAATTTCACTTGTTTGTCGTTTATGGCAACCTCCACAATTTTTGCTTCATAGAAAAGCTCACAAACATAGCACATGCTCACCTTCTCAGAATTTAGCCTTTGGTGCCATTTGTAAGTGATCACCACCACCACCTTCTCCCACTTCATCTGACTACTTCCCTCTACTCTCTACTGCACCCAACTCAGTGTCAGGTATGCTCTTTGTAGGCATTGCCAGCTCTATATCCTGGGCCCATCAGTATCTACTATTTTTAAGTAGAGTCTAAAAACTGTTCTTTCTGGACCAGCAGGTGGCATGGTGCTTTAGGCGCTGGGCTCTTACATGGCTAACTGTGGTTTGAGTCCCAAACCTGGAGGCTTGCTTTCTCACTTTCTCTCTTTGTCTCTCTCTGATCAACTTACAAAATAATAAAAATGGATAAAATAATTATTTAAAAAATTAAAAACTCTTCATTCCTCTATTTCTCTATTCACAAAGACTCCTCACTACCTCTGTCATTGGCTGCCTGAGAGTCTTTATGGGTCCATTCTCTCATTTGGAGAGTGCCTAGCGAGTGAGGCATGCCTCAGGGCATGGCTTCTGTTCCACTTCTTTTGGTGGCAGCTAACTTGTTTCAAACCAATTATATACATATATGGTTTTTTCTTCTCCCTCTCTCTCTTTCTCTCTCTCTCTTTTTTTTTTCTTTTTGCCATAGGGCATGTGTGCTCACTGAAGAGAGACAGAGAGAGAGAGGAGGAAAGTGAGAAATCTTCCACCCAGGGGGAATGACCACACCACAGTCCTTTCTCCTTCATTCTCCTCTTGAGATTTTGGCCATGCATGCACACACACTCAGGTGTGTTTTTTCAGTCACTGTGTCTGGGACTCAAACCACAGAGTCAGTTATGTGCGATGCAGTGCCTTAACCACCACGCCACCTGCTGGTCTCTAAGTTGCAAATTTATCATTTAAAAACTTTGTTTTGAAGTATAACAAACATACAAAGGAACAAATTAAAAAAAAAACTGTAAATAAGATGAATTATCACAAAATAAATGCGCCTATGTAACCTCCATTTAGGTTAATAAATAATACATTACCAGCACCCCAGAAGCCCTACTTCCTTCAACCTTAATACAAGTGCTCCTAATTGCTGTCTCCCCTACTTCCCCTGCAACATGAGAGTCAGACTTTTTTTTTTTTAATTAAAAAAAGTTTATTTTTTTTGAGAGGTTTTTGCTATAGGGCACATGCGCTCACCAGAAAGACAGAGAGAGACAGAGAGACAGAAAGTGAGAAATCACCCCCCAATGGGGATGGCCACGCTACAATCTCTTCTCCTCTCGGGATGTTGGGCATGCACGCACGTACACATGCCCGGCCTGAGTTTTAAGCCACC